TCTTGATCGAGAGAAATTTCCCCTTAGAGAGAGCACTATGTCCTGAAATAATTATAATAAAATCAACATCACTCCAATAATAACTCGATATCGATAAATCGGCAGTAGATATGGAGGAAATCGTAATGATATTTAAATGGAATGATTCGTCGAATTATTTTTGAATCCATCAATTACCTTAATTAAATGGATATTCATAGGGTTTGCAAATGTTGTAGAGAATAAAGGTGCAAAAATTTGAAAGCGACATTTGAAAAGTATAAAACCAAATTGAGGCCAGTTGCCATTAATTTAGGGTCGCCATATGTTAGGATTGGTCCTGACATGTCAAAATAATAATAGAACTTACATAAGGTCGATAGTCGGGTATTTGTAAATCGGTTGATGATAAAAAGCCAATGCACTAGTCACGTATCAAGTGTACATAAAGCAGAATTTTCTCGATTTCACTAGTATTCCATCTTCAGATCCTGATCCTGTTGACCATGGAATAATCTGGCAAGTACCCTTTCAAACAAAAGACGAACTATTCAAATCGGCCGTTAAGAAATCGTAGAACATATAAAAAAAGGAAACCTAATCCCAACACAAATAAACAAAATGGAAAATATGGAAAGTTTATGTTACCTTAATATTACAATTTCAAAGATATTCAACTTTCATTGCAATAACATTAAAAATCTTTTGCAATTCCAAAGATATTCAACTTTCATTGCAATAAAATTAAAAATCTTTTGCAAATAGCAGTTATTGTCAGGACTTCCCTCAATCGTTGCCGTGATTGGTAACCCTACGTTCAAACGAGTCATATCATAGCGCGTCGTAAAGGTCAAAGGTCGAGCTTTTGATGGTCGATATAAGTCGGGCAAAGATCCCTGCATTCGGTTGGGGGACTATAGGTATACAATGAGTTAGTTGATATACTCCTTAGTGACGACGTTTCTAGCGTGATTAGTATACATTTTTATAAGGAGTTTCTCGATTTGATTCCCAGTTTCAATGTAGAAATTAAAAGTTAAATATCACTCAACTAGCATACTGCAACCAATAAGAGAAGTCCATTTACTGGACGATAATGACATATGTCGATTCCTGGTTTCAAACCAGCACGCGAGCTTTTGGCTATAGAGATGGCTGGCACATTGCAAATGTTATCTAGGCACTTATTCCTAATACACCTTATACAATAATTCACTCAGATAACCAAAGTTCAAATCTAATTATATTTATTTATTACGTTAAACGTAACGACATACAAGATAAAAAAAACATTCCTATGAACTGAATGGTCTAGAAATACACCACACGGGTTTATTTTTTTAGTGGTTGTGCACCGATTTCTCTGCTAATTGTAGACCTTTTTTTTACTATAAAGAGAATAAACGATCGCGTTTTTTGATTTCCTATTATTATTATCATAAAAAATAATATGACACTAAATATATATTTTTAGTAAAAAACGATAAAATTAATTTCATGAAAATTCTAAAGACGGAATGTTTATATTAACACCTACAAAAAACCTCAAGAAATATAAGTAAAAAAAAATACCTGAATATTTTTTTTTTAAATAATCCTGAGAAAAGTATATATTTTTAGTATAAAACGATAAAATTAACATCTTAAGTCACCTACAAAAAACCTCAAGAAATATAAGTAAAAAAAAAAACCTGAATATTTTTTGCACTTTTATTTAACTTTTCTCAGGATTATTTCATCATCATCATCATAACCAGCCCTTTTACATCGCCACTGCAGGGGCTTAGGTCTTCCTTATGAATGGTTAAAATATATATTTTTAGTATAAAACGATAAAATTAACATCTATATTAACACCTACAAAAAACCTCAAGAAATATAAGTAAAAAAAAAAACCTGAATATTTTTTGCACTTTTATTTAACTTTTCTCAGGATTATTTCATCATCATCATCATAACCAGCCCTTTTACATCGCCACTGCAGGGGCTTAGGTCTTCCTTATGAATGGTTAAGGAGTATGGGCCATGACCCTCCACGCTGGCCCACTGCGAATTGGAAGGTATTAACCACTGCAAATACCGCCGGGACCAACGGCTTAACGTGCCTTCCGAAGCACGGAATAGCTCGAAATAATAATTTTTTGGTCACCCCTCCTGTGACCGACTCTTGCGAAAGTTGCTTAACGACTACGATCGCGGGCCGCGGCGCTTAACCACTACGCCGCTGAGCTACTCCAGGATTATTTACTTAGTAAATAACAGGATTATTCACTAAGTTTTTATTATACATTCCTAGAAAGCTTTTATTATATGTAAGTTTATTAGATTAGATTCAAGTAACAAGAGTTGACGAATGATATACGACCGGCACCTCTGCAGCATGATAAGCCGTGATGAACTAAAGAAATCGCTGTTTCACCGCAAGGGCAAAGATGGACACTGGTTACCCCCAAGCGAAGCCAACATGCAAGGCAGAAAGTTATATTAACTAGAAGTGTTCCAGCCGATGAGAACCAAAAACCTGATCACTTGTTTCTTATATTCTCACGCAGGTACAGTGCTCGTATAAGAAAACAATTTTGTAATGTGTAACCTCTTTACATTTTTAGACAATTAAGATCATTTGAAGGCTTACAAATTGCATGCGTAAAACATTATTCAAAATTATTATTCTTTCTCCATCATATTATGTAACGTACGTCCTTTTAGTTAATCAGAACACCGAATGTATAATAATAAAATAATATGAGTTGTTTTCTTCGCCTGGGTAAGTTAAAGCTTCTGTCTGCCAAGGTAAAAAGAATTTTAAATATAGGACCAATACTTTCAAAGCATATGCAATACAAACAAACTAACAATCATTTCTAATATTAGTATAGATAAACGTACACCACAGATAGTTTGTTCTTTTGCTGGGTGCACGCAATAATGCTGAGTGGTGTACTTGGATGCAGGTATTGTCTAGGAGACGTGGAGACTCATTGTTGCAATGTTTTGCTACCGTACTTTGTGGTGTAGATGTTGTGATTACGTATAAACCAAAGAAAAAATAGAACCATTTCTATTTATGAGCAAAATATCATTGTACTTTATAGCTGTCTTTACAAAAATGACACACGCAAATATGTAAAAGATCAATATTTACGTATGTGATTAAATACATGTGATATTAAAATGATATATATATCTTCAAGGAATAGATTCCAATATTGCTTCCAAAATATCAACTCCCAACCTTTGTTAATGGGGGTGTGCTAAATAAATAGCTCTATGTATATTAAACGTAACACAGTACATACCCTAAAGTACTTCAAGATTAACATAATCTAATCAATACTTATGATTTTAGTACACTAAAATATGTATACACGTAGGTACTCAGAATTTTTTAAAGAAGTCTATATCTATATTTAAATATCATTTATGTATCAGGAAAATACGAATGAATGAGTAATAACTGCACGTAAAAAGTCAATCAATGAGACATAAACCAATCAATGAGATTACGAAAATTCAGATAACATTAGCCAAAATGATTGAAAATATAAGGGCAGGAAACATGGTCAGAAATCCAATGACATTTTAACAAAATCATCATATCTCTTTTTTTATTAAAGCATGCTTTGTCCTCAAATCAGGGCTCTTCGACCAAGACCGAGAAGCGTCAAAGTATGGATGGTAAACCATCATCATGCGATGATGCCCCGCAGCAGGTTTTCACAAGTTTGCTTATGAAATTGCAGAATTGCGCATTTAGGAAAGAGTCCGGGATCCGGCTAGGGTATGAATATCGAAATATACATATAAGAATTTCGGAACGCAAAATCCGATAATACATTTCTACAGTTCAAAATATGGGCTTTAAAAAACTGATTAGGGATCAACCTATGGACGAAGCTTAATGAACAAGTTATAATTAGTTCCCAGTTTTAAATGCTTTACACACATTACGTACATAAAGTTAAATTAATTATTTTCAGTGTTTAAAACTATACTTAAAAAGAGAAACATAGAGAATCAAAAAATTATCACGTTATCGCTTTCCGCAACATCATAGTGAAGTATCTGGTTTATACTTGAAGGTCTTCTGTGATTTTATGGATCTAGACAGAAGTGAAGCTTGGTGTCACGAATGGTACTGTATGGTATAGTCCAATACAGTCCAATTCTTATGAAAAATATGTGAAATTCATCATCAATATTATCTATATATATTTGTGTTATTGTATGTATATATGTAGTTGTATGTTTATAAATGTATTTTTTTCACCAGCTAGTTTCTATGCATGTCTATGCATAGTTAATCTTTACTTTATACCGCCATCGCGTTTATCGTTTTTCCTAAAGGTTGACTGAAAGAAAATGCCATTAGCATTAAGTCCGCCTTTTGTACCATTTCTTTACTGTTTAATAAATAAATAATAGACAAAGAAAACGAGACGATATCAGCAAGTCATTCGATCAAAAAATGAACAAGCTAAGTTTCCATTATACACTGCAGGTGGATAGTCTGCACGATATTAAGCTACCACCTGACCCGCTTCCTTCCCTTGGGATCATGTAATCGTCGCATTACACGCGTGTGACATATCGCTGACCGATAAAAGATACTACGGATCTATATACAATTTATATATACTTTACTAACTTATATAACTAAACCGTTATTGTACCATACCGCTATTGTATGGAATCGATGACCAAATATTGAAAATGCATTGTAGTTTCTAAACTTTTATAATAGGTAAATCATTTGTAATCTGCTTGTAGATTTTTATTTAGGAGAATCTCGCAGGAATTAACTATTGAGAAATTCATTGACGTCGCGCCGCGTCAATGCCTCTCGTCAAACGAAGATGAATCGTCATACGGAGATATCGTTATCAGTCCTCGTATTTCACCTGTGATAGCGAGCGAGACGAGGCGCGCACTGCTGGCCGGCGGCGAACCGGCAACGAACGGCGCGCCATCACCGCGCACGCGCACTGAGCGCCACTAAAAAATGAATTCCTGGTTCCCGCACTATGTGACGCGCGCCCGTCGCCGCCGCCGTGTTCCGCCGATTTCGCGATACCGGGTCGCGCCGGGGTGTGGCCGTGGGTGCAGTGAGAGCGTGGTGCGGTGTGTTGCGGCTAGCGTGCGGCAGCGGCATGCGGCAGGCCTGCTAGCGGCCGCGGTATGGCGCGCCGCGCCGCCCGCGACCGCGCCGTCTACTCCACGCACGCACCATGACCGACCTGCAGGCCACCTTCGAATTCTCCGTCGAACTGTACAAGTTCTACAATGTCGACCTTTTCCAAAGAGGGTGAGGGTCTAAAGAAATACTATTTGAATTGTAGTTTATTCTTACACCTCTATCTGCTAGATGCGCAGTGATAAAGAATCGGTAGCCCCTAGCGTTATGAGCATACCGCTAATCGTTTACGATGTCTATAAAACCGGAATCCTTTTACTATCAGTTACAATATAGCATTGGTTAGAAGACCCAAATATTTCCTTAATGAGACTACAATGCATCATAAAAGAAGAGGACGAAGCCTATCACGAGACTGAATAAATACTCGTGGTAAAAAAAAATTGAGAAAAGATTAACTCTCTCCAAAATCACGATACACCAATATGGATTATACAATACCTAAAATTTTATTTTACTGTCACAATTTTACATATTATTATTAGCGACAGCCCATCATATCTAACCCAGTTTAGCAAGTTACATAAGCTGTGTACTAAAGTCAATGACAATAAGAAACCCTCGGTTCAGTGTCGAGTTTCCTGCTGGGCTCAAAGGCCCGGCGGTTTCGCTATGCGAATAGTGATTTATCTTAATACCTTTGGTCACGCACGTGGCAATAAAAATTACCTATTAAATATTACCTTCGGTATCACTTGCACTAATTGTTTCACCAACTTTAATAAAATAAGCAACTGACAGATTGGGATTCGCGTATTGTTTTCATTCTCAGTTCTTTTATTTGTATTCCACAAATAAAAAAAAAAATAAGCTATAAACAATTTCAACTAAATTCAAGATTTTTTTAACTACCAGTGATACATCAATTATTGATCTCATAATCAAAAGTGATAGGTATATTACTACGTATTGTAGGAAATGTGTAAGGAACGTAGTCCTCACACATGAGCGAGCATGTACCAAATTTAGAAAATTCAAAACAAACACGCTTAAGAAATAACTTTAGAATGTGGTAATTATTTTTTCTATCGATGATTCAGCTAACACTCCAGCAAAATAATTGAGTTTTTCGGTTATTAGGTAATGTATGAGATTGTTAAAGATATTAATGCCCATGAAAAACTAACTATATAATAAATGAAAATATATCAAAATACGCGTCCTCCTTAACCATCCATAAGGAAGGCCTGAGCCCCTGCAGTGGGAACTTAAAAGGAATGACGATGATGATGATGACGCGTTGTCTAAATTTAATTAAAGCATTTGGGCTAAGTATTCCGTGTCGTGCGTTCTTTATAATGCCTCTCTTCTTTGAACTCACTACAACTTCTAAAATTTTAAATACTCGTATTTTGTGCGGTTTCCAACACATTTTGTCGAACCTTATAAAATAATAATTATTATTAATCACTTGACCGATTTATTTTAAGATTAACTTCTGATTTTCAGTTATGCACGCACAAATTATGCTCTACTAGATGTTTTCCCGCGACTTCGCTTGCGTAAATTACAGCCTGTCACCCGCGTATGATGTAGCTTTCTGTATGTAGAAGAAATTTTAAAATCAATCTAATACTTTTAGAACCTATTCAATGTAAACAAAGAATCAAATGTTTTCTTTTTATAATATTACTTTATATAAGTTAGCTTACTCTCAAGTTGATGCTGAAATTTATCAACTGCAATGATCTAACTGTTGATGCTTCTCTTTTATATCGCCTATGTTTCTTGTTTTATTATTCAGCTATTTTCATAATAATCGGTCCAGTTATGAGCTGAACTATTATAAATAAATAAATAATCTACTAAAAACTCAGATCTTGTTTATAATATTAGTATTTATTTAAATAATATTGATTTCATACTAGCTTTCCACCAGCGGTTTCGCCCGCGTGGTCCATTATTATACTTATATATAAAGCTTCGTCTTGAACAACTCTGTATATTAATGAAATCTGCATTAAAATCCGTTGTGTATTTTAAAAGACATCATCACATGAATATGCTATACTATAAAACAAACTTTGTTTTATAGTGTCTATAGATTACTAAGATCAATTGGGTCTTACACTTTACCATTCATTATATTTTTGGCTGCTGGTTTAATAATTTCATATATGCATAACATGAATATTCTAAGTAATATTATTCATTATAATGTCACCAACATTTGCCAGTCACCACCATTTGCCTTAAAGAGTTGACATAGCATAATAATAGTACAACTTACTTTCCATCAGTAGGAGAATTTTGTCACTTATAATTTGTCTGTCATAATTGTGATGGATATATATTAAACAATAATTTATTCGACTTACAAGTATTAGTATCGCATCGATCATTCTTGTCTGAAGTTTGTCTTATAGACAACTATTAGGTATATAAAAAATTCATAACTCTTAAGTGTTCAATACATGTTTCGAGCCCGTCATTTGCAGCTGTACTACATAACTGAACTGAAACCTAAAATGTTCTTTTGACCAATCTATCTCAATTGCGATTGACAGATCTTTCAGGGCTTCATTTTTGGCAAATCCATCTACAAAGCGATTACATAAAAATTTGAAGCTAAATTCGAATTCACTTAGGTGACTAAACTCACTTCGAAAGCGAATCCGCTTAACCATATATTGAGAATACCGATTATTTACGTTATGTATACGTTGGCACAAGTGAAGTGAGTTTCGGAATTACATAGGGGTGGGATATCTGGGGTTTGTATGAATCAATTAATCTTGTTTTGAAACGGGTGGTCCAACAATGTTAATTGTGAGTCACACCTTGAATTTAAGTTTTTTCCCAACTTAATTTGACATATTTGATATATATTTCAATGATATACAATAAGACAAATTCAACCATGGAGAGGTACACAATTGATCACACTTTGTGAATTTTTTTTGGTCAGCATAATCAATCAAATGTGTCCACAATCTGAAGAATTGTGCCCAAATTTCAGCAAACCAGGTCTGTAGAAAATGTGAAAACATCTGTGCATGCTCGGCCAATTCATTTAGCGGAAAACATTGTTGGCGATAAGGTGGTAGATCAGCCGTCAACCTCGACTTATCATCGTGCCCAAGAATTAAAGATGATAACGGACTTCTTGTACCCGAAAATTGAGGATTCCAACAAAATGGTGCCACTTGCCACACAGCCAACGGAACAATGGCTCTTTTTGGAGGAATTTAATGGCCTTGTTATCTTACATCGTGGTGATGTTAATTGGCCAGCACGATCATGTGATTTTACACTACTGAACTTTTTTTTGGGGATACTTAAATTAGAAAGTGTACGTCATAATCCATGAATACTTCAAGAGCTAAAGGATGAGATGGTTCGACACATTAACGACATTGAACTTTAATTGTCTCAGAGTCAATTAAATATAGACCATCGGATAGAGGTATGCCACCGAAGCCAATGCAAGCATTTAGCAGATATTTTGTTTCACACATAATTGTCATGCGTTCTTCTATCATAATAAAAAATATTAAGATAATTCTCAAAAAAGTTTTTGTTTTATTTACAATTAACATTGTGCGTTTTCGTTGGACCACCTTTCATTTTTAAGCAAAAATCGGAATCAACAGAATATTCTACAGTAATATAAGTCGATAAAATAGTTTAATCCACAATCAATCTTGAAAACAACAGATTAAATAAGAAATCTCACTTATCTTAGTTCAAATCACTCAGCATTCGACAGTGAAGTGCCAGCGGCGTTTTCGAGTTATACAGAATACGCTATATATGTATTTGAATCTCACCGTGGATTCAGTTTTCCGATGCAAGGCTTCAATTACGACTATACACTTAGAGCCTTATTTTGACTAATCAATCATGGCTTCAGTTACGACTAACAGATGTACTGGTTAATTATTTTTGTGTTGAGTAGACCATTTATTGAAGAAAGCCATAATCTATATAATATCACACTATCATTAATAGGAGTAAAGCAACAATGAAAAATGTTGCAAAAACTGTGCCACGCTAGCGAAGTCGCTGGCGGAAAGCTAATATAAGAATGTTAATTAAATAGAGTAATGAATAAGATGTAGCTATTTTTGAACTAAGTCTTTGTTTTCGAACAAGTTATGAGTCCCTAAATAAAGATCTACCTTTCATGTGACACTTTTTTGCTTACGACAGTTTAGCTTCGACTGGACTACATATTACACGATATAGACAAGAAATATGTATACTTATAAAGACCTTTGACGAACTTTTGTATATTGGTGATGATCATATAAAAAACTTTGCCACCGTTTTTTTTTTCACTCTTCCATCATTTTCAGGTTTTTTAATAGATTAAACCAACCAAAACAATCAATGACTTAATACTTCAGTCAACAAGTCATAAGGATTTCTCATTATAAGGTCAATGGCCAGTTTATTAGTAAAGTTTTAATACTAAAGTCGTTCGGGTTGGAAAAAATATAAATTAATAAATTATTCCGATCGAACCAACTGAAAAATTGTTTCCTTGATAAAGAAATCTAGTTGATCCGATTCGTTGGTTAGTGCAGTTAGTCAGAATGGAATATTTTTTTTTCAAAACATTATATGCAATCAATCAGTTGGACAGATTGGAATGAAACCCTTCATCGAATTCTTGATCAGTTGATCAGTCCGAGTGAAAGGACAGAACCTTTGTAATTGTTTCCAACTTTCAAACTAGTAGGAATCAAAAAGTAATCAAAAAAATTAAGATTCAAGAAGATATAGGAAAGCATTCAAACCCAATAACCCAACCAACCCAACCCAATTTACTAAAGTGATTTCGATGCTGCTGGTACTTTTTAAAATTCGAACAACCTAAATGAATCGATTATTGTATTCAGTTTTCAAAGTAGACAACAAGACGTTGCGTATTTATGACGTCAGAGACCTAATTGATCGATGGGACAATGATCCCTGTTTAAGTCATAGATGAAGACGAACTCAAATACAGAAATCATTATTTGTATATGACGGGTATCCAGGACTGATATTATAATACTGCAGATAATATGAGGAATGCAGATGGTGCAGTGGGTAATAGGTCCATTCTGAGCTTGCGGAGGTCAAGCTACTTTCATAAAGGCCGGTTATCGAATGGATAACCAAAA